CACACACATACGCACAATTCCATATATGCATATATACATGCAGCATTTTACATATAGTTTTAGAGCTTCTGAGGACCTAAAGGTTCATCTTTTAAACTTAAACTCAGTTCAAATATCTGTGATGCTTTCAGGGTGAATTAGGCTGGATGAATCACCCACTTTATGTTTTCATGGCACTTAATTTATATCCCATCTTTGTTACTGTAATGATTGCATTCCTCCCTTCTGTATGAAGTAGTGTCTTCTCTCTTTTGCTTTCCCTTATCAAGCACATATCACAAAACTGAGTCAATGTACTTTGTATTTAGAAATTGATTAAAAATTGAATGAATTAGTTTGGACTAGAATATATCATGGAAATAAGGGCCATTTCTGTTTTTATTGGCTACTGAATGCCTAGCTTCTAACTCAATGCCTGACACCTAGAGGGATTTTGTCAATTTTTATTGCACAAATATTGCGTGACATAGTTCTGCTCACTGAAAGTGACTGGTGTATAAAACTCTTATGAGCCTTTTTGAACAAGTGTGGTGTATTTTATAACAACTTAATTTTGGGAGCAAAAATGTCAGTAGATATTTTGACTCTTATATCCTCGTATCTCAGCTTAACTCTTTTTATCCTTTCTTCTACTTTCCCCACTCATCCTACAACTCACCCATCCCATATCTTTATAAGTCTGTATATTCACCATCTTATTATCATTTGCATTCCATGTGAGCTTGCAGCTCCATGTATTATGTCTTTGCTTCTCTGGTTCAGTTTATAATTTTGATCATACAACACCGACATATTGAGCATTTACTGTGTGTCCAGCATTGAGCAGTTGCTGGCTGTGCAGATGAAGTACTAATCTGCCTGCCCCCCACTTTATTCCACAGAAGTAAATTTTCTGAGAAAGAGATAAGATAAATGAAAAGAGATGATTATGTTGAAGTTAGTTAAGTGCTAACATGGAGAGCATAATGCTATAAGAGTAATAAAGGTATGTTGTTTGTACTTTTTTCTGTCCTTGGAGGGTACCTCTCCATGTCTCCTCTCTTCCTGATTGATTTAATAATCTACCTGTCCTTTAAGATCCAGTTCAGATCTTCTTTTTCCATGCAGATTTTCTAAATGTTTTCTGTTCAGTCTTCTTCCTCCACTTCCCCATTCCAGTATGCCTTTCATAGTATTTGTTGCAGTCTTCCACTAGACTGCATATCTCCATCTGTAGGTTAAGAACTGTGTCTTTTCCATCATTGTTCCTCAACAGAGTTCTTTGAAAACTGTAGGCTTATTGAATGGAAATATTTGTTTTTATATAGTCATGCCATCTGCCCACCCACACCCCATACCTCACACATGATTTATTTCCTCTTAAGGATCTCAAAGTCATTTCTTGTGCTTATCTTTAACTATATACTGCTGTAGGTTCCCAAGGGTACCATTATGTGGTTGAAGAGTTGCTCTCCTATTTAACTTCTCTCTTTCAAATGCAGAATGAGGAACTGATGGCTCAACTCAGTGAATGACTTGTCTTCTAGTCAGATGTCTGCTTCATAGTGGAATCAACATGTTGTTAACCTATTTCTTATATTTGGAAATGTATTTTTATTTTTTGAGTATCAAGATCTCTGTTCATAACTTTTTTTTTTCTGGATTCCAAGTGAATGATTTTGAAATCACCAAAAATATGAAGGATTTATTTTCAGGAATAATTCATTATGTTCAAAAATTCCCTTTATGTCTTAGGTCCATGAAGGGCCTTGAGAAGCAGATGCTTATAAAAAGCAGAGCTCATCAGATACTACAGGCTAAAGTTAATGGGTGTTTTTAGTTCAACAATGACCTGAAGCTACCCCCACTACATACATAAAAACCTATAATGTATATAATATTTTATTCATTTCCTCTTCTGACATGTTATAGGTCTAATAGCTTTTTATTGTCTTTGTTGTTAATTTAATTTTGAATGATCAGATTTTTCTGAATGGTAGATTAGACTCCAAAAGTTTTCCACTCCCTTGTATGGAATGTTCCTCAATTTGAAATATTTTTCCAATCAAATCAGCACCAAGAAAACCTGTCCTTGGCTTACATTTTTATATTATCTTATGGAAAGAAGAAAAAATCCCAGAGAACTTGACTTACAATACTGATACATAGAACCAATGATAGTCAGGCATATTCAGCCCAAATTTCAAGTTCATTCTCAAGAGTTTGGAATAAGGTGAAGAGAAAGAGGACTCTAGCAAGAGATCAATACACACTTGTTTTGTAACATTTTCCTTGCGATTTAGATGTGTCAGATTCCATTTCTCTGTTAATGAGAAATCCATGAGGCCTGACTCTTGTTCTATTCAGTGCTGTACACTCAGAACCTGGAAAAGTGCCTGGCATGCAGTTTATTGATTAATATTCAAGGGTGAAGGAATGAATGAGAAGACTTTGATTCTGAAGCATTTCTTTATAATTGTGGCACATACTATGTCTCCTAAAGCAATATGTTTTAAATAGTTTTTACATAAATGATATTTGGTAAGTTAAAAAAAGTTTGTATTTTTGTTTTACTGATTTGAAAAATATGAAATATTTTTAATATTTTGACTGTTGGATTTTCTTTTATTAGAGTATAACTGCTTTACAGTATTGTGTTATAGTTTCTGCTATTGACATATATATATGTGTGTGTATATATATATATATTACAATGTGTAAAAACTATTTTTTGACATTTTTTTAAGGAGTACTGTTGACAAGTTTAGTATTAATAGCTAACTTCTCATGCCAAAAACTATGTTTTTCTAAGTTACCACTAATTGTAAGAATTAAGCTCATATAAGAACCACATCACACTATTAATACTGGGACTGGTCCCAGGTGGGTCAAAACCACAGTGAGTGGGGAGATAGTGTCTGGTGGGATTAAGAGCAAATCCCTCAAAACATGTAGATCTAGGTTTAAATTCCAGCTCTGACACTGCCTGGCTGTATGATAATGGCAATCACTTAACCTTTATAGGCCTTTGTATTTTCATCTCTAAAATGGGCATAAGAACATTCTAGACTTGCTAAGTTTGGAATAAGGATACAGTGATGCAGTACATCTAAGCACAGTTCAGTTCCGTTCAGTTGCTCAGTCATGTCTGACTCTTTGCGACCCCGTGGACTGCAGAATGCCAGGCCTTCCTGTCTATCACCAACTCCCGGAGTTTACTCAGATTCCTGTCCACTGAGCCGGTGATGCCATCCAACCATCTCATCCTCTGTCATCCTCTTCTCCTCCTACCTTCAATCTTTCCCATCATCAGGGTCTTTTCAAATGAGTCAGTTCTTTGCATCAGGTGGCCAAATTATTGGAGTTCCAGCTTCCGCATCAGTCCTTCCAACGCACAGGTCTTAATATAATTTTTTTCAGCCTCAACTAATGGATGAAGATTAGTGTCCATTCTCCATTAAGAAGCAGTGAAAGACCTTTACTCAGCTGTCTAAAAAAAAATGGGGTTTAGCTCTGCACTGTGTTATCTAGAATATCTCTTTATCTATCTCATTGTTTTCCACCTGTAAAACTAAGGCATATTTAATCTGATTTGTCTACTTCACATGGACTTAAGAACAGCTAAGTTAACACATGAAAGAGGAAATAACTTTGAACTGTTTAACCAAAAGTTTCTAGAAAAATTAAATAGTTCTATAGATAGTATAAACTCAATTTAAACCAAATATGACATAAATTTATTATAAGAATACAGGGTTTTGTTGCCTTATAGTTTGTGATAACTTTAGAGTGTTGAAATACTGTGCTGAGGTTACAATTGTCTAGAGACACTGCTTATCAAAACAGGATAAATTGTATTCATATTCAGGAAGATAACTGAGTATATGTCATCTTCCTCTTGATGATCATCACCATGAATCAGAAGTTTAGTACTGTTCCTAAAAGATGTTATTTCTTGTGACAGAGAATTACAAAATGTGCCACTTAGTATAACTGTCATATTTCAAAACATATGCTCCAGGAATTGAAGTAAGAAAACCTTGAAGATACAAGAATTAAAGTTAAATGTATGAACATAGGAAATTGAAAGTACAAGCTGGTAATAGACTCTGAGACTTTTAAAGATCTGGAGTACCTTAAGGATGCCCAGTTCTTTTTGTCATAAATAAAGTATTGATTTTTAAAAGAAAAACACGTTTTTCTAAAAGTAAATATTCAATGCATATTTTTGTCACATACAATGTATTGCTTCTTTTCTTTAAAGGAAAACAGTAAAACAATACAGCCAGTTAGTGGGAATGAGAGATCCAAAACAGGATTCTAGTTATGTTGAATGAGATATTTCAACATCAAAATTTTAAAAAGCAACTGAGTTATGTGAAAATATCAATTAGAGTACAAATAAACTCTTAACTTTTGCTAAGACTCATAAAATATATTTTACTTTTAAATTCTGGACTCTATACTATTCAAATTAAGAAATAGGATAAACAGAAGAAAAACAAAGAAGTTTGGAAATAACTGATCTGGTGATTCAACAGAATGATCAAGAATGCCAAAACCAGACATCTAAAGCAGAGCCTAGCTTGTCATCATGACTGTACTCTGAGTTAACATAATCAGTGAAGAAATATTGAAAAATAATTTTTTTTTAAGTAGCAGTATATGCATTTGCTTAAGCTTCCTTAACCATTTTTTTTTTTAAACTTTGACCTTGCTTTACTATTAACTTGAAATTCCCAGAATTTGAATACTAGGTCTTGAGACAGGAACCTTGTGATTTTGAATTCATATTTCAGTTTAAGAATATTAATTTTCCTTTTATAGAAAGGGTAATAAAAATTACTGCATTCTTTCTTAGCAGAAAATCATCAAATATAGGACCAAAATAGTTTTGTAAAAAGTGTAGCCAGCATAGATATGTCTGTGTTCTGTGCAAAGTTAGATGTGCATATATGTGTTTGTATATTTTCTATGCATGTATCTTAATAGTAAACATATTTTACTTTACTTCTTCTTAGGGCTGTCGTAAAATACATAACTTTAATAATGTACTACCTGAAGGCATGAACTTGAGCTTTATCATAGCCATGGTTTCAAATAATGGAGATTACACATGTGTGGTCACATATCCAGAAAATGGACGTACCTTCACTCTCACCAGAACTCAGACTGTAAAGGTGGTAGGTAAGCATGATTTGTATTAAGCGCACACAGCAAAGTGCAATAATTTTGTTCAGGCTCTTAATATTTTGTTATAAAGAAGTATGTAAATTCTGAAAGAAAAGTAGCTTAGCTTTTATGTTTACTGTACTATTCCAAGGTCTCAGCAACTCCACATGCATAGCAGGCATATAACAACTATTGTTCTACTGAATGAATATGTGGATGAATGAAGTAAAGACAGCTTGGGGAGTGAAAAGAGTGCCAGACTTATCTGTTCTGAAATTATACCATTGCCATTTATTAGCACTATGACTTTCCTGTACTCTGGGACTAAAACAGCCTAACATTTGGTAGAGCTCAGAATATTAGAAATAATATACACAATATGCTAGTGCTGTATGTATTGTCAGTTTCAGGCAAACAGTAGAAGCTTAATGACTAATGGTTAATATCATAAAAAGAAAAAACACACAGTTTTTTACTTGAATTAAGTAAACTATGAATTTTGGGGGTACTGGAACTTTTGTAGCTAGTGCTGAAGATATTTGTTAGCAGTGTTCAACCATTGCTTTCTTTGTGGATGAGAAACTAGAGAAATGGGAAAGACAGTGTACAAACAGAGTCAACAGGCTCCTACAGACCTATAAATCAGTATAACCAGTCTCAGGATAGATAACATTTAGAGGAGAGCCCTAAATATAATACTACTATGCTCACTGTAGGTTTCACTGGTGGCTCAGAGGGTAAAGAATCTGCCTGCAATGCAGGAGACCTGGAATTGATCCCTTTAGGTCTGGAAGATCTCCTGGAGGAGGGCATGACAACCCACTCCAGTATTCTTGCCTGGAGAGTCCCCATGGACAGAAGAACCTGGGGGCTACAGTCCATGGGGTCTCAAAGAGTCAGACATGACTGAGCGACCAAGCACAGCATGCCCACTGTATCGTTAATAAAAATGACACCATATCAGAGTGAGGTTTTTCATACCCTATATTTTAATAGATGGAACCATTGAGGCCCAACAACAGAAACTAACCCACTTAGAGAAGCCCCCTGTATTAGTGGAGAAGTAATTCTAAATCCCAGGCTTCTGCCTTTTTTGTTCAGGATTTTCTGTATAGTCTGACACCAAGTTCAGCATAATGTATGAAAGGGCTTTAACATAGTGCAGATAAAATTCAAATCAAATAATTTTGTAATCACGCCTCCTTTTTCCGTGCTTACCTTTGAAGTACTACTGAGTTGGGGACTAATACAGGAGAAAAATAAGACTGACTTTAATGTTATAAAAATACTGCTTAATGTTATAAAAAGCAGCAGTCCTACAAATGAACATTCAACTGATAACTAGATAACAGGTAGACTTCCGTGCTGACCTCACAATTGTGATTTTGAATTTTCCATTCATTCATTAATGAATGCTTACTTATTTAACCAATTTCCAAGCTAGACACTCAGAGCATATTGAAGAGAAATATGTAGAAAAGAAACAATTGAGGAAGACTTGAAATCGATTAATTGCTAAGTAGTATGAGAAAGAAATCTAGCTCATATAGGCTTTGGAAAGCAAAAACACTAGATAAAATAGTTCTGTCTGAAACATGAAGGATACTTAATGTATTGTTTTCCCTTTGTTTGCTTGTTTTAAGTGAAAGAAGTGTTGTAATTGATTGTACATGGAACTGTGGGTCCTTTCAAGAATGGACAAATTGTGCCAGGAAGTTAGGCAATCTTCACAGAAGAGCAGATTTTTGAAATAGATTATGTGAAATTAAAGGTCCATGATTTGACATCATCTCCCTTGGTTCCTTCCTCTCTCCCACAGGCTCCCCAAATGATGCAATGCCTCCCCACATCTATTCACCTGATGATCATGTGGTCTATGAGAAAGAACCAGGTAATTACAGATGTGCCTCTGAATATCAGTTAGATTCTCTTAATTACAATGACTAAAATGTCACTAAGTTAATGCAAGAGCATAGAGAACTGTTGTAGAGAAACACATGAAGTGAAAGAGAAGTGTTATCAGAAACCAAATCAGCTCTGGGGATGAGCTCCTTTTTTGATCTCTTGGGCAGCTCAGAGATATTCTCTGCTTCTCTCAGGGCAGATGCTCCCTTCTCCCTCTGTGAGCAGTTTTCCTCTCCTGATTAGTGACTTCTGTTTGATGCAAACTTTAGCCTGTGCAGGGTTCTGGTTTACTGAGACTTCAACATGAGCAAAAGACTTCCTTGAATTTCTGCCCCACTACAAAGGAGTGGGGAGTGGAACTGGAGGCAGAACTGGGAATTCAACAGGTAACAAGAAAACTAGTAGTATCCCTTGATTTGAACACTGTCAAATGTTTACACTGGCTATCTTGGTCTCCTTTTAGTTTTCATATTTTTTCAATCAACACAAAAATTATTTGGAACTGACCAGTTAAGGTATAATATATTATTCTTCTGATACAAAGCCTCTCAAGTTAACTTGAAAACCATAGACAAATTTAACATCCTCTATACCATATCCTTCCCAATATATGGGCTTCCCTGGTGACTCAGAGGTTAAAGCATCTGCCTCCAATGTAGGAGACCCGGGTTTGATCCCTGGGTTGGGAAGATCCCCTGGAGAAGGAAATGGTAACCCACTTCAGTATTCTTGCCTGGAGAATCCCATGGATGGAGGAGCCTGGTGGGCTACAGTCCACGGGTCACAAAGAGTTGGACACAACTAAGCGACTTTACTATATCATATCCTTCCCAATATATTCAATTCCAACCCAATGAAAGATAGAAAATTTGTTTAAAATGTACTAAAGATAATAGAAGCAGTGTTCAATCCACATGGAGGACAACAATCCCCTCAAATTAAGGTACGGTTTCACATAGTGATCTGCCTTGTGAAAAAAACAAGACCACACTGAGGGAGTCTGCCAATCCTGGATGGACCAGATTTTCTAAACTCAATATATTAATATTAACATTCTTTCTGGCATCAGGGTAAACCCATATTAATCATCTAAATGCCTTTCCTCTGTCTGTCATATTATGGTTACAAAAGCATGCCTGAATCCATGGTCACTTTATCTTTCTACATATTGTTATAGGCAACTGTCTAGAGAATGACATAAGAACCTTGCATTGGAAGAGAGGCTAGAGTATGACCACTCAGTGAGACAAACCTGAGTTCAAATTGGGATGACAATATAATTTATCATCTCAACCTGGACACCTTTTGAGAATGAAAGTAGTCGATATTAATAACTAACTAGGAAAGCAAGCATAAAACAGAACTGTTCTGGGGAAACAAAAACAGAAGGTCAGTCTGGGTGAAATCCTGGTCTGCCACTTATTTGCAATTTGACCTTGGGATAGCATTTATGCTTCAACTTTTGCATCTGTAAAACATTAATTTAAAAAATAATTCATAATATCTTGTTAAAATTAAGTGCATCTATTGATAAGTAGCCAAAACATTTAGCACAGGGAATCATTCAAAATCCTCAATGAGTCTGCTGCTGCTGTTACAATTATTATTACCATGTTTTGCCTAGAGATTCCCCCTGTCTTCACCATGTTCCATCTCAGAAGGGTAACATAGCATTTCTATTTGTAAGTTGTCTTTAAGCTCATTGACTGAACCGTGATAACTTGAATATTTCAAGATGCAGCCTGCCTGGTCAGTCCTCTCAGCGATGGCGTCGCCCCATCTTCTCTGAGCCAAGGACCAAATATCTGGATAACCATTCCTCAATCTCTCATTGTTGGTGAGGGAAATGACAAAGGAGAAGAGTAGTCCATGGAGGTTTAGGGCTAAAAAAAGAAACATTATCAGAGCCTTTTTGAACAAATACTGTCATTTTAGGACTTATACAGGCTCTATTAAAAGATGGGCATTCTAATAATTTTACATAAAAAGCTGCTGTCCTTTTCCTGGTTTGTTTGTTTTGCAATGAAGTATGGTACATTATCTTTTAGTCCACTTGAAAATTAGTCAGAAGTAAGCTTGCAGGCACATAAAATTTTATAACTTCTGATTAATCACAAAATACAACCAATATAACCATGTGATAGTTACAAACTGATGAGTTAACTTGTTTTTTTTTTTAGGAGAAGAGCTACTCATTCCCTGTAAAGTCTATTTTAGTTACCTGAAGGACTCTCGCAATGAGATTTGGTGGACCATTGACGGGAAAAAGCCAGAGGACACCACTATTGACGTATCTGTTAATGAAAGGTATCATTGACACTGACAAGGGGGTGACTAACGCTTGTTCCTCAACCTAATGCCTTCTGGTTTTTGCTGGTTGATGAAAATTCTAATTTTTGCCTGTCAGTAACAAAAATCAGCCTAATTTTCAAGTCTTTAGTAGCTATATCCCAAAACAGGATTCTCGGACTTGTAATCCAAGCCCCAGAGACTACCTGATGATTATATCTTTATGATACCCACTTGAAAGCAGTTGGAATGAATATCCTATATGAATGAAAAGGGCAGGATTTAGAGTTGGAGACAGATGAAAGCTTGCCAGAATGGCCCTATTCTGTTTCTCAAGTCTGGAGTCTGGGCCTATGTTTTTGTGCCTCAGATAGTTGTGTTAGTTCTTATCTCACAGTAAGCATATATTTCCTATCTCCTTCCTCTCCTTTCTTAATTTTCATAGCATATATATCACATTTATAAGTGATAATTTTTAATATTGGCTAAAAACATTAATGTTCTTTAAATTTTATTTTTTAAGTGGATGAGGTGGTAATATAACTCACTTTTAAAGTAACAAGCTGGGTCATGACATAAATAAACATGACATTTTTTGAAGTAGCTTGATTTGGCAAGGAAGACTGCAACAGTAAATAAAAATGAGCAGCTAACTGCATGACAAAGTAGTTCTGAAAACTTACACCTTATCATCTATGTGCTGATAGATCTTAGGTTACTTGAACTTCAAGGAGTTAAAAGATATTTATTCCCTAGTAGTAAACTCAGACTTTATACAGAAATTATAAAGTATCATCGGTTAACATGCAAGATACTTAGTTCCTAACTGAGTAGATTTTACAGGTATAGCAATGATACAACAGAGATGTTAGTATAATGTGATAAATGCAGTAAAAGGGAAGTATTGGATATTAGGAAAGATTTAGTTGGAAGTTCCAGTCAGCTTTAGGGAGTTAGGTGATACTTCTCAGATGATACATGGCCTATATAAAGATTTGAAGGATAAGTAGAAATACACTGGAAAAAGAAATAAAAGCATGTTCCTGGTAAAAAGAAAAAAGAACATCATTTTTTTTTTTTTACATCGTACACAAAGGTGTAGAAGTTCAAGGAACAGAACATATTTAATGATACAGAAGGAGTTTCCTGAAATTGGAGCAGTCTTTGCTAAAGGAATTGATGAAAGATGTGACTGAATGCACAGAAGGAAAGTTATTGACCATTTCAATAATTCTGAACATTGTGCTTCCAACCCTTATAAAAATACGGGATGAATAGTAATGACAGTCACACTGTTCCTCCTTGCTGCTATTGAAACACAAGTCACTGTTCATAGTTGAGCAGTGCAGTTCAACTTAGGTTAACTCCATCACAGCTCTTAACCGTTTTCATGACTGACAGTAAACCTCATAAGAACCTGGATGTCAGTCAACTGTAAGAGAGAGAATTTTTATTTATTTTTTTCCTTTTGAGCACAGTAGTTCAGAGAGATCTTCAGTCTTGATCTTAGACCCAAAGCACTTGATCTCTGACTTGCAGAGAATTGGACATACTTGTTTTCACAAAGTTTACTTGCTCTGAGAAGTTTTTACTTTCTTTAGGATATCACCAAGAGGTTTCAGAATTTTGACCAAAATGTTCTATCTGTGTGCAAAATCCAAGTTTTGGGAATCCCTGAAATGCATCAACTATTACTGTGAGATAATAATAATAGCTTATATGAATATTTATTAAGCTTTGTTCTAATGATTCCCAGGTGGTGCTAGTGGTAAAGAACCTACCTCCCAGTGCAGGAGACATAAGAGACATGGGTTCAATCCCTGGGTCGGGAAGATCCTGGAGAAGGGAATGGCAACCCACTCCAGCATTCTTGCCTGGAGAATCCCATAGACAGAGGAGCCTGGCGGGCTAAAGTCCATAGGGTTGCAAAGAATCAGACATGACTGAGGTGACCTAGAATGCACGCATGCATTGTTCTAATACTTATGAATTAACATACTCAATCCTCAGAATTCTTGAGTAAGTTAATACATGCAATGCACTATGTAGGTATTGTCAGTTTCCTCCTTTTCAAAGGAGGAACTAAGACATGGAAAGATTACTTACCATGCTCAAAGTACATAACCAGTAAATGCAAAACCTCAGTCAAAATTCAAAGGTGTCAGGCCTCAGAAGCCTCTCACTGAATCAATGCTGCATCCTGCCTCATATACTTGAGGAAAGGAGACCCTTCACTTTGCAGAGTGACCTGTAGTATGATGCTAATGCTGGGTGTTGAATCTAGATATTGGGACTGTGTGTAGTATAGATGGTAAAAAATGATATTAGAATCCAGAGATTAGTCTCCTTTTTTATCTTCAGGATCATGAGCAACACAGCTTATTGACATTCTGCCTGTGCTCACCTGGGAGATCTATGATTGTCTACTTGTCTGATTTACATACAGCCATTGGCCCTTGAATCTCACTAATGCTTTAATTTTCTTTCTCCTATTCCTAGTGTAATTCTGAAAGTAACAGAAGACGAGACAAGAACTCAGCTTTTGAGCATCAAGAAAGTTACTGCCGAGGATCTGAAGCGCAACTATGTCTGTCATGCCAGAAATGCCAAAGGGGAGGTTGACAGACCAGCCAATGTGAAACAGAAAGGTAATGGATGCACTCAGCAGATGAATGTGTGAAGTCCAAATGCAACCCTCCCGTGAATAAAGAAAAAGGAGAAATTGACAACAAGAGCTCTATCACTTAGCACATTCTGACACGTAGTGATAAATGAAACTTAAATGAAAAATCTTGCGAGTTTCCCTTTATATAATGATACTGAAAATATGTCTTATGGTTTTAGTATTTAATGCCCATATGTGACTTAAAAATTTCATATGATTATGATAATGAGGCACAGCATCATATCTATAAAGGAAAATGAAAACTAAAGAATATTTCCTGTTCTCTGAAATATAATAAAACTGGTAGAACCACATATCATTGGTGAATTGTAAAGACCATTTTAGAAATCATTGATGGCAGAGTTCAGAAGTCGTAAATGCTAGTCATACCATATGACTTAATACTTTTGGAATTTTCCTTGAACAAATAACTTAACAGAAAGAGAATTATGTCCCTATCGATATTCTTAGAAGCATTATCTATAATAATGAAACATTATAAATAGCAATTATCTAACTGCATATAAATAGTTAAGTAAGATATAAAATAGCCTCAAAAATATAATTTAAAAATGATAATTTTAAATACTCTGTGCCAATATTTCAAGCAGGTTTTTCATACATCACTAGCCACAATTGCTAAAATGAAAATTTAAGTGATGTGAAATGATTTCTATGTTGATATTACTATATTTTCCTACAATAAATAAAAATTATAAAGCTTTCTTGTGTGAGCTGTTGCTCCTGAAACATATTGTGTCTAAGATTTTCTTTGGGTCTCTCACCTAACAAAGAACCCTAGATAATGAATCCTTTCATGAATGTTTTTCAGTGATCTAGATAATAATAAGGATGATTCATCACACATGAAGTCAACCCATTCAGAATCATTTTGGACCTATGTCAGAGTCAGAGCCTTTAATATATACACAAAAAAATTAAAAATGTTAATTTAAAACTACTGCATTTTGCAATAGGATTTAAACCTCTTTTAAAACTGATTAAAAAAAAAAACAGGCTTCACTTTAGCATTTTATTACAACTTAGGAAGTAAAGAGCAAAAGCCTGAAATATATACCTCTTAAGGCGACTTAGTGGATGGGTTCTGAATAGTTAATTGCTTCTGGTCCTCAGAAGGCAGTGTAAAAAGAGAAGACTGAACTGCATGTTGTAAGACTATGTTTCCCAAAGTAAGTTCCTAAGAATACTACTCAGCCTCTTCATAGTACTGCAATTCATTATTTGTACTCTAGACACAGATGGTCTATGTTCGAATACTGTCCAATTCTGTGACCTTGGAAAAGTCACTTAACCTCTCTGAGCTTCAGTTTCTATTTAAAGTAGGCAAAATATTAATAATAGCACTCCTTCACAAAGTTGTTTTAAAGTACTCAGCATGGTTACTGGCATATAAACATATATAAATATTAAATGCTCAATGAATGTTAGATCTTATTATTACTTTCACAAGATTTTTGTAGGTATTATTTGACAAAGGCTCTTATACTCAAGTATAATTAAGGTCTGTGATAAGCGAAATAGATCAAGTTACTTTAGTTCAGAGCCTCATGGTTCTTTCATATGTCAATATTTGATATGAATATCAAATTGGAATGTAGTAGAGTTGAAATGTAGTAGGTAGAATTGATTCAAATTGACTTGATTCCAGATTCTTTAGGTATGGAACATTTTTGTGGGTTTCATCTTCTAAGGCATGTGTTTTGGGAAACAATTATGGAGGAAAACATAAATTAATAACTTAGTGTCAGATGGATAGAATCAAAACAATCAACTGAAATCATGTTGAATCTAGGAGTGATATGGAAGTGTGTCCACCACAGCTGCTTTGAGTAACTCTTCTTTCACAGAAGGCTGTGTTCCCAGTGGTTTAATATGAATGGCTTTAGGAATATGGAGTTACTAGTGCATCTACTGGAGAAGGCAATGGCAGCCCACTCCACTACTCTTGCCTGGAAAATCCCATGGACAGAGGAGCCTGGTGGGCTGCAGTCTATGGGGTGGAGAAGCGTCGGACACGACTGAGCGACTTCACTTTCACTTTCATGCACTGGAGAAGGAAATGGCAACCCACTCCAGTGTTCTTGCCTGGAGAATCCCAGGGACAGCGGAGCCTAGTGGGCTGCTGTCTGTGGGGTTGCACAGAGTCTGACATGACTGACGTGACTTAGCAGCAGCAGCAGTGTGTCTACTAGACCAGATGATCTCTGCTGAAATTATATTAGTATTACACATAACATGGTTGGTTCTCTGTGCACTTAGTGGTACCAGAAGAGCTGTGTGTTTGCTTCTGTGGACTCTATTCTGGGCCGGCTAATGCTGAGATTCATAGGTGATATCTGTGTTCTTTTCATATACTATATGTAGGGGTCCTACTCTGAATTCCTTGACAAAGAAGTCCATTTAATAGTTTCTTCTATTATAGTTGGTACTTTTCTAAACCCTATATTAACAGTGTTTCATTTATGAGGACTTTTGGTAAAGTGTCTGCCTACAGTATGGGAGACCTGGGTTAAATCCCTGGGTTGGGAAGATCTCCTGGAGAAGTAAATGGCAACCCACTCCAGTATTCCTGCCTGGGAAATCCCATGGATGGAGGAACCTGGTAGGTTACAGTCCATGGGGTCGCAAAGAGTCAGACATGACTGAGCGACTTCACTCTATACTTAGGCTTATGACCATGTCTTTTTTTCCTCCATACAGAAACCACATTGAAAGATCTCACTTTTTCTTTTTTTGTTGAATTGATTTTACAACTTGGCCAAAAAAAGGACTCTCTTAATGTTAGTCTATTTCTGAATTCCCTAGTGTGTTCTATTAATCTGTTTGTCTGTCTTTAGTCCAATACTACTTAGTCTTGACCAACAGCTTTAAAGTAAGTCATGAAATCATATGCTCATATACTTTATATCCTTTCCTCCATATTTTCTTTTCCAAGATGGATTCAGGGACCATTTATTTTTTCATGTAGATTTTACTATCAGCTTATCTATGTCTACATTAAAGGCTCCTGCGATTTGATTGGAATTGCAATTTAATTTATAAATAGATTCAATGGGAATTGAAATTTTAGCAATATTGAGTTTTTAAATTCCTTAACATGATATCTCAATTTATTTAGCATTAATTGAATATTCTCAGCAATGCTTGTCTTTCTTTTTTGGTTTCAAGTCTTTCACACATATTGTTAATTTATCTCTATTATGTTGTTGACGCTATTATATATAATATTTAAATTTTTTCATTTTCAAATTTCACATTTGTGAAAAAAAAACATGGAATTAATTTTTATGGTCCTTTGACTTTTCCAAACTCACTAATTAAATAGGGTTTCTGTTTGCTTTATTTATTTATTTATTTTTTGGTGTCTTAGCATTTTCTATACACTTGATCATGATGTGCATGCTAAGTCGCTTTGGTCATGTCTGATTCTTCGCAACTCTGTGGACTGTAGCCTTCCAGGCTTCTCTGTCCCTGGGATTTTCCAGGCAAGAATACTGGAGTGGGCTGCCATGCCCTCCTCCACGGGCTCTTCCTGACCCAGGGATGGAACCCATGTCTCTTTTGTTTCCTGTATTGTCAAGAAGTTCTTTCCACTAGTGCCACCTGGAAAGGCCACAAATAAACAGACTTTTACTGCTTTTCCAAACTTCCTACTTTTGGTTTCTTTTTCCTGACTGTTTCACTCTTTTGGACCTCCAGTAGCATGATCAGAAAAAAATTGAGAACAGCCATGTTTGCATTGCTTTCTATCTTAGATGGCAAACATTCAGTTTTCATAATAAGTATGATGCTACTTGCAAGTTTTTGTAGACAACCTTCATCTACATGAAGTATTAAGCTTATATTTTTAATTTGCTGAGAGTTTTGTTTTGTTGTATTTTTATAATGAATGTATCTTGAAATTTTTCAGACTTTTATCCATTGAGATGATTATATTATTTTACTCTTTTATTCTATTAATATTATACTTTACATTGACTGATTTCAAAATGTTGATATAATCTTTCATTTCTGAGATAAACCCCAACATCATCAGAATTTATTACCCTTTTTATATAGCTGTATTTGATTTGATAATATCTTAGAAGATTTCTGTTAGGGAATTTGCTCATATATTTGTTCATGAGCGATATTGGTCTGAGATTTTCTTTCCTTGCAATGACATGACTGGTAACAAAGTCATGCTGATCTTATAATATGAATTTGATGATGACCCCTCCTTTGCTATTATCTGAAAGCTTATGTATAAAATTTATATTATGTCTTAGTCGAATATTTAAAAGGGTTACCCATGAAACTATCTGGGCCTGGCATTTTCTTTATGGGAAAGCTTTTAATTATGAATTCAGTTTCTTTAGTAGCTATTTGGATATTCTGTTTCTTCATGTGTCAGTTTGGGGAATTTGTCTCCTCAAATAATTTTTCATGCTTTATCTACATTGTCACATTTTTGGCATAAAAAGTTGTTACATCATTTTGTTATTTTTTTAATGCATGCAGGATTTATAGTGATTCTCCCTCCATCATTCCTGATAGTAGCAATTTATATTTTCATCCAATCTGTTTATCAATCAAGAAAGAGGTTTTCCAGTTTTATTGACATTTTTCAATGAACAAGTGTTTTCATTTATTTTTCTCTGTTTTGTATTTTATTCATTTTACTCTGTATTTTTCTTTTTGCTTGTTTTACATTTGATATGTTCTTCTTTTCTATCATCTGAAGTTGAAAGCTACATCACTGATTTTTAAATAATTCTTTTTTTCCTGTATAAGTACTGAGCTATAAACTTCTCTCATTAGACTACTTTAGGTTAAACAAGCAAATGATGAAATGTTGAAGTTTCATTACCATTCAGTTCAAATTATTTTCTAATTTTCTATAATTATTTTTTGACCCATGATTTATTTAGAAATGTGTTACTTAATTTATACATGTTTGGGAATTTTCCAGATAACATTTTT